CCCGCCAACGTGACCAATATCATCATGATTCATTTTACACACTTGCCACCTCGCTCCTTTGGGCACTACCCACCTAATGTTGGATTTATCCCCTCGAGAATTCTGAATAATTTGTTTTGTTTAATAAGGTAATGATTTTTAATATGTTCAAGTCCCTTTGAATCTAGGTTAGTATTGATAATGTCACGAATTCGACTCAGTTCGGAATCACCTAGTTGCAAAGTCAACAACCAGTCTTCGTCACTTATAGCTAAAACGGTGGAAAATTCATCAGCAATTTCCCTATCACTAACAGGATTTCTTGATAATGCATCTGCGTGGGCCATTTTTGTTCCTGCTCTATATTCTATCACACAGTTAAATTCCTGAAGGGCAAGCCACCATCGCGCAATTCGAGGGATTAGATCACGTTTCTGAAACGTGGATCGTAGTGCACTACAGTCCGTAACGACCTTGAACGCTTTCCCTAGCAGAAATACCCTAAACTTTCGTAATGAACAAACGACAGCTAACGTCTTGAGCTCATATGAATGGAAATTCTTTTCCTCGGGAGTTGTCTGCCGACTATAGTATGCAACTGGTTTAAAGGGCTCTGTGCTACCTTGTGGTCGCTGGAGCAGGATTCCACCGATGCCCATCCTGCTGGCATCCATATGGAGTTCAGTATCTGCGGAATAATTATAGATAGCAAGGACCGGTCGACTTACCAACTTAGTCTTCAACTCCTCAAAAGCCTTCTCTTGATCTCGTTGCCATTCCCACTTTACGTCCTTTTTCAGGAGTTTCGTAAGCGGTGAAGCAAGCTCAGCAAAGTTCTGGATAAACTAACGGAAATAGCTTACAAGACCTAAGAACTGACGGACTGTATGAACGTTTCCGGCCGGGGAAAATCGGATACTGATCGGATTTTTGCCTCGCCAGGTCTCATCCCTGCTGAACTGATCTCATACCCTAAGTACTCAATTCGTTTCTGCAGAAAACTACACTTCGCCAAGTTTAGTTTAAGGTTTGCATTATCTAATAGCTGCAATACCTCCTCTAAACCTCGTCAGTGCTTCACCTGACCTTACCATAGGTACACAAGCACATCGTCAATATACACGGTGGCTCCGCTAAATCTCATTGGCCCCAAGATACGATTCATCATCCTTTGAAAAACTGCTGGGGCGTTGGCTAGCCCGAATGGTACACGATTAAATTCATAATGGCCATCAGGGGTCACAAATGCCGTCAGATGCTTGTGCTGTTCAGCTATAGGTACCTGATAATACCCTGACATTAGATCTAGAGTAATAAACCATGCTTGTTCGGCCAATCGACTTACCTCATCGTCAATGATGGGCATTGGGTAACGCTCCTTCACGGTGATGGAATTAAGCATCCTGTAGTCAATGCACATACGTACCTTTCCATCCTTTTTGCGGACTAAAATGATAGGACTAGCATAATTAGATACTGACTCTCTTATTACACCGGCGTTTAGCATATTATTTACCATGTCGCGAACGTTTTCACGCTCAAGGTGCGAGAGCCTGTACGGACGATACACTACGGGTCGATTGCTATTTAACTCAATTTGCATCTCCGTGACGTCGGTACACCCTAATTCGGCCAAATCAGAAGCAAAACAGTGCTTAAAGCGTAGCAATAATTTGGAGCAACCTATCCTTGTCTTGGTCAGTTACCGATTCTCCTATTTTTATTTGTTGTTCATCAAGTTGTGGTTAATTTTGTGGTTTTCATCTTCAAAACAATTAACGGGGGCCTCTGCACCAACATCAAGAAACCGTAGTTTAGATGAGTCTTTAACAACTATTATATGAGGTTGTTCGGAATATGTTTGGCCAATCAACATCTCCTTGTCAAGCAACCGATCGGCAACCACTTTACAAGAAACTGTCGCAGCTACGCCATCAATTGATAAGGTTAATGTCGCCGACCCTAAAGATTCGACAAATCCATTTCCAAAACCTTTCATAGTTGAAGGTATCCCATTATGTACTACCCCTAAATCATTAGCAGCAGTTTCTTTAATTAGTGTCACCTCGCTGCCAAAATCTATAAATGCGCCCAAAGACCTACCATTTACCAAAACTTATTTTGTGAACTTAGCATTTGGGTGATAACCCGTTATACACATTGTTTTGTGAACAGTGGCAGGTTGTGTAGACTGACCTTCTAGTTTAGCTCGACAATTATCGATTTTATGCCCTATTTTGCGGCAATGATCGCATTTTAACAGGGGTTTAGTGCACTGCTGATAAAGGTGCCCCTTTTCTTTACAGTTGAAGCAAAACAACCCTGAGCTGTGTATATTGAGTTTGGAATTTCCCTTTCGATTGCTATCGTTAATTTGAAAATTATCAGTGGCATTTTTATCTCTAAAATTTGACTGATATTGGCGTTCTTTATTACTAAGAAGGAATTGAAGCAGCTGATCGGGGTCAGTACAACGCAATGCTAAGGCACTTGATTTAACAGTCCTATCACTGAGACCATGGATAATACAGTCTACGGCGCGCTTGCCAGTGATTTCACACTGGTTAATTAAGGCTAATTTCTCATAATAGTAGTTTTCAATTGGCTCATTATATCTACTCCTACGTCTTAGCATATCTTCCAAGGTCTGGCCATAATTCTGTTCAGACGGAAAAGCCTTAACAAGTGAAGAGAATTGTATTTAAACTCTGATACCAGGTTTTGGCCAGTCCTTGCAGTTTCTGCATGGAGAAGTGTATGGTTGATTTATCATCCCAACCGTAGACAGAAGCACATTCGTTTACTTTTCTAAGCCATACATCCATGCGTTGATTTTTATTGGAGGGATCAAATTCCGGCAAAATGTTTTTATAATCTAGTTTATTAGCAGAATGTGTGCTCTGCTCTGACGGTTGTGATGTGGAATTTTTGTTCAGTGAAGTTATTATTCTAATGATATCTCTAGATGAATATAAAGGACTACATGATCTTGAACGACGCCCAGTACTATGCTCGTGGCTCCGGTGATCCTCCCGCCGTTGGTCACCTTGGTCCTTTCGATGCTCGCTGTTTGCACGTAGGCTGCGATGATCCCTGTCCACGCGGTGCTGGTGTTGTTCGCTGCGTCTGGAACGAGCCTCCAGGTCGCGTTCATCCTGGAGTGTTCGCTCCAGTTGTCGTAGACGCTCCTTCTCACGCACCAGGTGTTGCTCCCGACGGCGTATGCTGATACTGCGACGTTGATGTTGGCTTTCTTCATGGCCGTAGTTCCGTCTGCTAATATTGCTGCCGCTCCCAGATCGATTCCGTTCTGGGGTCCGCAGACTGCGGCCCTCACGACTCTCGCCGCGCTCCATTATCTCGGAAACAAAATAAATAGTTTGAGAGATCTACATCTAAGCAAATAGATAAAATAAAGAATAAATGAATATCTCAGGACATGCCACCCACGGTCCTTTTATCTTAAAGGCTACGCTTTTATATGTATAGTTAACGCGTGCAAAGTAGCGAGTAAAAACCACTTTAAAGACCAGATACAACAATTAATAGCGCTCATTACATATATTTACGTTAGACGGGAATCGAAAGCACGAACTCCTTAGTAAAGTTAGTAATCAGAGTCACCAACTGCTGCTGGACCAACCGATCGGTCAAATAATAAGCAGCTACGTTTTAAATTGTACCTGACGTACTTATATTAAATATATATTATTATATGCTTTTTGTTTATATCATAAAGGAAAACCTGCAGCCTAGTTAATATGGGAAAGGATATAACCCCGTGTTTATAGGGCTAAATTTAATCTTTACCTATTAAAAGAAACTCAGTTGTTGTCTTTGCAACTGGGTAAAATGTAGATAAAACTAATCGATTTTGATTTTATTACAATTGTAAATTAATAAATTTGGGATTTATAAATAAAACCCTGATTGGTTCTCACTAAAATATTTGGATATTATTTTTAGACCAAACTAACACAGAAATGTTTAAACGGTAGGTACATTATTACAAAATCAATGCTACTCACCTGTATGCAAGCTTGGATAATCCCACTTCTGAAGTGTAAGAATTATAGGGGTTTTCAATAAAAGTTCCACTGTATATATGTTCTCACTCTGTATTTTACCAAAAATCCTCACAATGTCCATTCACCTTTCTTTTCTCACCCAAAATTGCCGCCATAAATCTCCGCTTTCCCGCGTCTCCCCAAAAACCAAAAACCGCCTCTTTTTTTCTTTTCCGTGTTGCCAGGTTAAAAGTGTTACCCGATTCAATTCTTAAGTTTTTTATTTAATTAAAAATATATCATTTTTAGGAATAAACAAAATAACCTTACAGTTCTTAGGCAGCTTCACAATTTTGACACTAGAGGCGCTAATTTTAGAATCTTTGCATCGCCAATAAATGACGCGAGATTTAAGTAAGTGCCTATTGTACTCATACATACAAATATTTATCTGCACTGCCGTGCCGCCTCTAAGTCAAGCCCGAAGCAAACACTGCCGTGTGTACCATCCTTAACTGGAACCATTTCACCGGATTTTCAGTCCCTATTTGAGAACCTCTGGATAAGACGAGAACGCAGAAATTTTCATCATCCATCCATCCATAGTATAATCACATAATAAAGTACCTAATATAAGATAAGACAAAGTAAAAAAAGTATTAGAAATTAGACTTGCTTTGCACAAATAGCAAGTCGAGAAAATATTAAAAATGTAGATGTTATTGAAAAAGCTTGATTTTAAAAGTTTAAATGCACCAAATAAAAACGTCTTTACATAATCTGTGCAATATTCTATCATTCTATCATTCAATCACACAATGTTCGTTTCATTCTCAACAATTTCATCAATTTGAGTCAATTTCAATTCTCACTCATTCATTCATTCATGAGAATCTGTCACATATTACGTGCTGTCAGCGTAGCGGGAATTGAAACATTGAACAGGCATTTCCAAAAATAATAATTTAATCGATAAAAAATTAATTCCCCATAAATCAATTTTCAGCACATAAAATGTTTGAGTGGGCTTATAGTGGTGCAAACAAAGCTGTTCCTAGAAATGTGGGACCCGAATGTGCTTATTTTTTATCCACCAAAAGGCAAATAATAGAAACAATAGTCGTGGTTTCAACTTGTGTATATATTTCAGTAAGTACGCTACTTTTATTATTTTACCTAAGTATTTATTATTTACAAAAAATATATTAAATAAGTTGGGTGTTACTGCGTCTATTTGCATTATAATTGAATTAGTAGTGTACAATAATTATGTTCTGTACTAATCATTATATATGTATGTTATTTTACGATTAATAATTATGTATTTTGAACTACAAAATTGTTACAGATTAAGACATTTCCAAAATTATCTGTACCTCAAGATACAAATTATGTTAAAAGTGATAGAGGTGGTAAAAGGTTATTGGTAATACTTCTGGCTCTGTTATGGGGGATGGAAATTGGTTTTAAATTTGCCTCTCGTACAGTTATATATTTGTTGAATCCTTGTCATGTTACAACATTGATACAGGTAAGTGTTTATTATTTATTATGAACTACAATGATTACAAAATCTAGAATTCTTTGCATCAATCCTATTGGAAATGTTATCCAGCAGTTCATTTTGATTAATAAAAAAAAACACTGAAAAAGCTTCAAGTACTAGTTTGCCAAATTATAAAATAAATAGTTATAATAAACCTCTTCACACATGTAATTTAATTTTTCATGCCTTTAAATGTTAGTCAAATAATTATTGTCATGCCATGTATCAGTAAGATTTTATATTTGACAATTTCCAAATGAAAAATTCCAAATCAAGTTAATTTTTGATATAATAATTATGTGTCAAAATATTTTACCAAAGGATATTGTGTTTTTTTAATTATTATACATAGGAAATTTACCCTCTGTTTTAGATATATTTATTGGCTGCACCACCTAGTAAAACTGTAACAGCTTTGTTTCGCATCCATTTAAATTTGTTAAATGGACCTCTATTAGCATTTTTGTTTCCTGAAACAGCTTCAAGGAAGGTGAGTATTCTTAATTAAAATTAAATTGTTTTATTTATGATTTATTTTCACTAATACTAACATTTGTGTTATAATTATTAGATATTTGCTGAAGCTGCTCTGTACTGGATCCAACATGGCATGATGTTTGTCATACCATATTATCTACTGAGGATTGGTGGTGGGTTATATGAATTTGAAATCTTTTTTTTTATTATATTACATGGTAATTAACACACCTCTTTTCTAGGCCCCTACAACATAGAACCCTTTTGGGATTTTCATTGGTCAATATTCAGCTATTGCCTAAACATGATATATCACTTCATCGTTTTACAACTCATTGCAATTGTAAGTAAATGTTTTATTATTGGTCTTTACTATTTTGCTCTTTTTTAATGATTCTCACAACAGGTATAGAATTACATCTGGTTTCTAAAAGGCTTATTAATCTGTCAAACACCAAGCGGTCACCGGTGACCGCGACCTATTGTTCTTTAATTGTGTCTATAAAACCGGTACTCGACGAGTTAAACTAGTCATTTCTTATACCAGACATCATCCTACCTTTCCAAAATGAAATCAAATATAAACATGCCTTTAGTGACATATTAGGTCTTAAACATGTTTAATTGATTTTTGGATTGATCAGCCTTTCAGAAACTACACTTTGCTTAGTAGAGCAAAGAGTAGTTTTCCAACACCAGATAAATTTTAACCCATACATCCCCAAGCGGCCACCGGTGATCACTCTTCACTAACTACATTATAGACCTTATTTCTTATGTTTAGAGACTACTTTTGTATGAACAGATTTAGGGGATGAATTTCAATGATTTAACTAAGGAATAACTTTGAGTATTTGACAATTCTTCCATTAAAAACTGTTAAATGTTAGTTTTATTCTATAGCTAAGAATTAACTGATGATTGAATAATTGGCCCTTAGTTATGGATAACAATATAGGTTAGAATAAATAACTGTGGAAACAACAAAATTATTTAAGTGAAATCTATTTTTAACCGACTTCTTGTCGATATCTTTGGGAGTTATGCTATAATTATTTGAGTCTATATGTTTTGTGGTGATCCAAAATTGTATTTACCCAACTTAAACTACATTATGTTTAAATATTACGTTTTGAATGGCAAGTCCCATAGTGCAATAAGAGATTGTAGTTAATCTGTAACCCTGTATTGCTATAATGAAAATTTTAATTTTATAATTACCTACCTATTACTAACAACAAAACATGAACAATTGTAAATACCCACATATTAATAACAACTTTTAATTTCCTTTCAGCCTGCTCAAGTAAACTTAAACCACATGCTCTGCCCAGCTATATTAGATCCATTTGATGGACCATGGTACAGAGTGGCAGCAGTGACTCACCAAGCACTACTGTGTCCTTTACTTTGTAAATTGTTTTGTCTCATTTCCGATTTCTGCCTAACAAAATTCCCGCCTACTAAAGTAAAGCCGCATATGAAGGATTCTCTTATGGATAGCCGTGCTGTTACTGTCACATACCCAACCGAGCACCATAAGGACTAGTAGCAGCTGGATTTGGAACAATATATGGCTGTAATTCCTCTCAGGGTAGGTAAAACTCTAATAAAAATTGCCTTTTGAGTTGGAGAACAATATTTCATCGCGTCCATTTGGTTTTGGTGGTTAATATAATAATTATTAGTATGGTAAGGTTTATTAAATAGATGTATGAAACTTTTGCTTGGAATTTGTTGGTAACCGGTATACTAAAAATTGATAGCAAATTTGAATAATATGTAAACAACCTTTGTTCATTACATGTGTACAAGTATTGAAGTTTGGGTCAAAACACCCGAAACTTCGCATGAGGAGGGTCAATTCACCATAAAACTTGTAATTTTAATTCTTATTGATACTTTATTAGGTACTTATCACTTATCATATAATTGCTTTGCAACGTGTTTAGATATATGCAAGTATGAATGAGCTATTCACTATGCAAACACATTCGTTGTGGTCACTTAGGGTTATCCACAACGAATGACAAAGTCATATGTATAAGTTGGTATGTGGTACCTCATGGTCACCACATATGTTAGAATCGGTAAAACAGACCCGCAGCTCTTGCTTAGGCAAGTTAGTCGTAAGGGCATATTAGGTGTCGCGGAGAACCTAAAGGGTAACCGGGGCTCCGGCTCGACGTGCAGGAGAAGGAACGGGGTGGTTTTTAGTCAGTAAGAGTCTGACACTCCCTTCCGCCTCACCCAGGCGGGAGCAGTCATTCGATGATTTTCCCCCCTTTGTTAGCAATCTTGTCGCCTAATTCGCCTACGACGCTAGATAATTCAAAATATTATTTAAGGAATGCGAGTTTCGCTTTGTGGTTACGACTGTGATTTACAAGTGCTGCAATAAAAAAACAACTTTTATTGTTATTGTGACATAGTTAGTACTAAATATTTGGTATTGTGGTTAGACATTCCTAAAGATGAAAAAGTTATTTCGTGCCTGTCATTTTTGCCACAATTGAAACATCAATAAATAAATATATACAAAACCGATGTTGGTGTATACAAATTAGTATCATCGCCACAAAATTATTAAAATAATAATTTTAGTATTGAACTATTCTTAAACGAAAATCTCTTCTTATTCTCAAGTATAGTTGTAATGGGATGCAAATACATTCAACAGATAAGTACGTACTTCCCTTTTTAACTATGCTGGAGCAGAAATCTCCGCTTGAGTATCGTTCTATAATACCAGCATTAGACACGTACGTAAAAGTAGGTTTAATGAGTGCTTGTTGCGTAATCAAGTAAGTGTACCTAGTTATAATTAGTAACCTACGAAAACAACTAAAGTTAGAATAACACAAACGTTTGGCCTAAATAGGTACTTGAAATTCCAATACGCTATTTGTAGGACTTAGAGCAATGTCGTTTTCCAAGCTAAGTATAAAATAAAACCGTCTAGTTTCATTGATTGCAATATTTTATATACTTACATATTATTAAAGAAGGTGTAATATATATAATACCCTGAAAGGTATTTTTTGCAGAACCATACTAAATAAGTTTAAATAACAGAAACTTCTTGCAGTTGTCTTGTAAATTTGTGCTGTTACATCTACCGTTCTTTTCAGCTGTATATTTCAATGTAGTCTTCAATAAAATTAAGTATCTACGTACTATTCGATATATATCAACGTGATTTCAAAATTGACGGGTCAAACCTAGTCCTACTTATGTAGTAACTTTCGGGGTCATGTAGGGATTTACAGAAGCCATACTTTACTTAGGTAGTAAATATTACAACGTTGTTTGCTATACAATGTCTCTTGTCGTAATGTATCTGTTACCGTTACCAGTGTAACCCAATTTTAGTATAAACTAGTATTGCCTAGGTTAAATTGTCGAAGAAGCAGAACATAGAGGAATCCCACATGAAAGGGGGATACGTTAAGTTAATTGGAACCCGACGTTAACGACGTGCTCCGTGCATTACCACCAGGCGAGATAGTGGGCAAACGTCGGCCCATCAAATATAAAAAAATGCAGGCAGAAATATGAGCCCTAAGATACGTATCTTATATACGCTCCTATGTAGTCTTGGACTAGTTTAGCCTAAGCAAAAATAATTTATCTCTAAAATCAGATTTGTCGGGAATATACCGAACGAGAAGACATTAAGTAGATAATGCACGTAGTAATCATTGTCATACAATTTCTATTAAGCACCGGGTACTTATTTCATAATTAAAATAAGTACCTACATATTTGTATATGCCATCCACATATTATGTAGGAGCAACTAGTAACTGGCACATCAAAGCAAAGTGTCACAGCATGATCGCTACAGTAATGAATATAAATATCCCACTCAAGTGTAATATTCAGTTCGAAGTCACTCTATTGTTTGAATAACACGGTTAATTTAGTTGTTCCTTAGCAACACTAAATTACTACATTGGTAATGCGTAATGTATAATGTCCTACTTCATTTTCAAAATCTAACTCTTTTAAGTCATTCTCCATAGTTACGGGTTTCGATGGACTTAGCATTGATTTATTATAAATAATTTTAATGAATGCCTACCAGTATTACGGTTGTTAAAGCATATTTAAGCAGGAAGCGGTACAAATTAAGATATACGCTTTAGTACAACTACAACGAGTATAGCGTGTCTCTGTGATACGATAACGATACCTAATAAATGATACACCTAGTCATTATTAATTTATTATTATTATGTCATTTGACTCACTGTCTAATTCTCAGACTCAGTGTAGAATTAGGAATTCATAGAGCCCGACACTAACTATGGCAAGATTTTGTCGTGGTGGTTTACGCATGTTTTTTCATAATTTTATGGTTATTGCCATCATTTAAATCTAATCATGTCTTCTTGGAAGAAAGTTAACGTAAAAATAACAAAAGGAATTTGTGTTGATAGTTAAATTAAATGAGAACTAATTAAAAAATGCACTTGCACACTGCGTCAACTTATCCACATCACGACAAACCTTTACCATGCTTCGTGCAGGATATTATAACTTTTTGAGTAATTCTATATTTGCCCATGTATGTTTCTACTTTTTAATGTAAGTAGTTGATGCATGGGCGTAATATGTCAAACTTTAACAGAGCTATGCTCTGTATGTAATAATAGTTATATTTATAGTAGGTATCCTTAGTCCTCTTAGTGGTTAAATACTAAAATTTGGCTTGATTAGGTACCGCAATTTAGAAAGCCGGTTTCACAATATCTGATTAGGTTACTGTTAGCTGATTAACTGACTTTCTCATGACACAGCGAACATAATTAAACAGGCCTTTAGAGTTGAAGCTAAAGGAGTCTACAACACGTCGACACCTTATTACTAATCCAACAAATCGATAGAACCGTGAAGGTTGTGAGTAGATAAGTGGTGATGGGCTAAAACCTACATATAGGAAGGGGGTAGGTATAAACATGTTAGACGTATAATAAGGGACGTTACGCAAATTTAAGATTTCAAATAATATTAGGTACATACATACTGAAATTCAAAAAGTCGAGAATAATCATGACTTAAATATATTTAATGACGATCGATGCAGTAATAATTTTCAGTAAATCACGACAAACCTTTACCATGCTTCGTGCAGGATATTATAACTTTTTGAGTAATTCTATATTTGCCCATGTATGTTTCTACTTTTTAATGTAAGTAGTTGATGCATGGGCGTAATATGTCAAACTTTAACAGAGCTATGCTCTGTATGTAATAATAGTTATATTTATAGTAGGTATCCTTAGTCCTCTTAGTGGTTAAATACTAAAATTTGGCTTGATTAGGTACCGCAATTTAGAAAGCCGGTTTCACAATATCTGATTAGGTTACTGTTAGCTGATTAACTGACTTTCTCATGACACAGCGAACATAATTAAACAGGCCTTTAGAGTTGAAGCTAAAGGAGTCTACAACACGTCGACACCTTATTACTAATCCAACAAATCGATAGAACCGTGAAGGTTGTGAGTAGATAAGTGGTGATGGGCTAAAACCTACATATAGGAAGGGGGTAGGTATAAACATGTTAGACGTATAATAAGGGACGTTACGCAAATTTAAGATTTCAAATAATATTAGGTACATACATACTGAAATTCAAAAAGTCGAGAATAATCATGACTTAAATATATTTAATGACGATCGATGCAGTAATAATTTTCAGTAAAAAATGTTCACCCTTATTACAAAGTTTACCTAGTATATTTTAATATCAATTTACTTATTAATAATTGTTTAAACCAAAAATTTGCTAATTTAGTGTAAAATAGTAGGTAATAATTTTATGCATATATGATACCATCAAGTATCATAAATCGAGCCATCAACAGATATCAAGAACGTTACTAAAGAAGTACGAATGTAAAGACGAACGCCTAGGTTAATTTTTTTATATCAAAGTCCTTTTATAAATATCAATAGCCTGAAAACTATTTTTCACAAGTAGCTATAAATATTGTCAATAATATATTATGTTCATTGTTGGTATCTGCTTTCTTTACCTTAGCAATGACTCAGTAGGTATCCATTAAACAAAATTGATTATTCTAAATATGTAAATATTTATTTACAACTCGGCTGGGCCACGGCGGTGCCCCCAGATTAACTAAATACTGGTTAAATTAATTACCTAGTAACGTAAGTACAATGACCTTTTTTAGTTTTATTCAAATTCGATTGTTCTCGAAAATAAATAGGTAGTTTTTTACAAAACAATAACGCGAATGGATAAAGATGTATATTATTTAGTTCGTTTAGTTCTAGAAACTTAACACAATAAATGAAGCTGGTTCAAACGCTGCTTCCTTTCTATTATTTCTAGTGCGATGAATAACGAGGGTAAATTAATGTTAGTCATGAAGTTGATACATTTATCGATTTTTTACGTAGGTACTTTCACATCGATTGATGCCTATTTGTCCTTCAAAGTAGACATACCGACTCGGTTTTACTAATGATACAAGTTTCAATACACCGTTCCTTCAAACTACATTTTTTCGGTTTCAA